CACACTTGACTCTACCACACTTGACTCTACGACACTTGACTCTACGACACTTGACTTTACCACACTTGACTCTACGACACTCTCTTTAGACTCTCTATAGACTCTCTATAGCCGACACTCATGGCCCCAAAACTCATGGCTAATGATGCTTTCGGGCCACTCGTCTTCTAGTTTTCAAAAACCTCCCCATGCCAGGTATGGGGGTTTCCCGTGCAGATTCTCCTCTCACCTGCTTGAACACCAAAGTTTCCAATGCATCACCTGTTAGTTCATTGATTCAGTCAGGCAAATCCTCCACTCGTTTGCAGATTGGATGCGGGCCATGCAGGAAGGAGCCATGCCTGTCTCCTTACGAATCGTGCTGAACCCACAGAACCCACAGACTGTATCATCCAGGACCGTGCTGCGCCACGTTCATCTGGATGAAGCTGAATCCATGCAGGTTTTGCTGAGCATCAAATTCTCTAATTATTAATTCTTCGCCAGTCCAAAGGAACCATAGTCGGACCAGAATTTGTTTGTATACCACATGCAGAATTCCCTAAAGAAGTTCATGAGGAATGGTCCTTTCCACCGGTCCCCGGAAAACTTGGCAAACTTCCAGGACGTGCTCCAGGTAGTTCTCAATTCTTCTGCGTGCAGTGAATTCCCTGTTGCATCGGGTGATGCTGCACACAAAGTGGAACGTGTCGTATGCAACGAATTCTGCCTCCTGATTCGAAAAGCGATAGAGCAAGCACGCGAGCGTCGCCGGCTCCAGTCCTTCATTGATGGCCACCGGTGTTCTCGCCAGGCCAAAGGTCATGGTGGTGAGACGAGTCTACAACGTGGGTGAGTGGGGTATGCCTGGTGGACCTCAAGTGTGCATAACAGGAATAGTGTTACCCACCCTCGCCCCGGCAGGCAGCAGCATCACCCATCATCCGAGCACTTAGGTTCGGGTTAGGACGGTAGCTAGTTGTCGCGAGTTAGTTGACCTCGTAGACGTCGTGGAGGTTCCTCCTCAGTGGGCCGAGGAGTTGAGTCCACTTCGATCCTGCCAAACAAATTCGTCCCATGCACATCTGCCGCGCACCAAAATCCCCCTAAACTTCGCAAACAAACAGACAGCGAAGTTGTTGGGTCGTTTCGAAGACTTCATAGAGCTCCAGAGGGTCGGGATCACATAAGGTGGGGCGGTTGCACGAAGCGAAAGGCAACCATTCCTCAGTGTCCTTCAAGGTTACAAAACAACTAGAGTTCGCTCTCGAGGCTTTGAAACGGCCACAACCAATGTACCTGATGAAGGTAGGAATGGTGATGGGCTTCTTGGGTCACGGTGCTTCCGACTGAGTTTGGGGTTTTAGGTATAAGGATTTTGGTTTGAATTACAAACTCATGATATAGCACTAGCAAATCGAGTTCGGGAGTGAGGCTTCAGTTTCATCTTGACTGTCAACGACTTCAATTACTTCAGTTGAGGTGTTAAGTTCAGGGACTTGTTCCTGACTTGCAAGGACTTCGACTACGTCATGTTGATCCTGTATTTCAAGCGGGACTCTCAGTAGCTCGGGCAGGGATATTTGCTTGAGTCGGGGTTGGTCAAGTAGGGATTTTTGAAGGTCTGCCTTGTGGGAAATCCTAAACCCGAGATTGAGGAGTCTGTCTAGTACTTCCTCACTAAGGGTGTTAATATTGATAGCGGTGAAGGCGGCGAGGACTATCCGTTCAAGAGGATTCACACCAGCCGGAACATACCCAGCATGAAGTAGTCGTCGTGCTTTCAGAAAGTACGGTTTGTCAATATTTACGACTCGCCCTAGAACTGAGGCCCCTTGATGTTGCATTGTGACTGTGCCTAGAGCATCTTGAATCCAGAGGCCCGACCCCGGGATGGGTGAGGAGAGCTGAACGACTAGAGAATCATCCATGTGGTACATCCTTGCACCCCTCCTCATGGTGAAAGTCGTGAACCTGAAATTAGGTGCAATCCAGGCCAGGGTTTTAGTCACAACTAGCAACTAGGCAGAAGCAGGGCATGTCATGAGAGAAAGATAATAGGTGTTGACTGCTTCGGGGATTGGCTCCTGCCACAATGTAGCGAACTCCTTCACGACTGTTTAGATAACTCGCCGGATACAGGAGGAAGAGCGCGAGTATGACAGTATGTCTTTGAGGGTGGGAGGGGAGGCTCTACGTACAATTCTGGCAGCTTCCAATTCGATGGGCCTCAAACGTGGATCTTCCGTGATGTCCCCAATCAGGGTTGGAGGCAGCAAACTATCCTAAGATTCCCTACAATCAATGAGACTGAGGGGCTCAGAAAACGAAGAATGTCCGTGAGGGCAGGAGAATCATGTTCAGCGGCTGCGATTGGACTATCTAGGTCCAGCCCCTCCGGGGCCTCCCTAAGTGGTCAGAAACGAAGGGAAGAGGCGTGTAAGTAGCCCTGGCCGCAGCCTTCGTGCAGCTTGCTGGCCACGGCTGCCATGTGGCGCCCACCCGACGTGGGACCCCACGTGGCCGCTCCGAGGATTTCACCCGTGGCAGTATCAAAGATGATGCCGTCACGAGTAGCCTCCTCCACCTTCCCACGGAGGCTGCGTCAAAGGTACATTGGCTTCAGGCCTCCGCGGGTTTCGGGGAGCTGCTCGGCCAGCTCCGCGACAGCCTTGTCGGCAAGCGAGTCCAGGAAGGGTGGGACTTCCGGCTCCTCCTCGAAGTCCGAAATGTCGGACGCTGAGGCCTCGCTTGCTGGCTCCTGGATGATGAGCTTTTGGAGGACGGCTGTGTGGACGGTGGACGAGCGGGCACGTGTACAAGTCTCATGAAAGTCTTGAGCCGTAGCCATTAGGGTTCAGGGTTCAGGGTTTAGGGTTTGGGGTTTAGGGTTTAGGGTTTGGGGTTTAGGGTTCAGGGCTTCAGGGTTTCAGGGATTCAGTTTAGGCGTCAGGGGCCCAAGAGTTAGAGCTCTCGGGCCTCTAGGGTACTGGGCTTCAGGTTTTTACAATGGTTGACTCCAGGATATCGCATCAACTGTCTGGCATTTCAGGTTTCGATTTGGGCGGTTCAGGTTTGGGGGTTCGAGGAATTTTTGCAGGTCTACTTGCATTTTGTACGGCTTCACCTCTGTAGCCTGCACACTCGGACACTGGCTGATGTTGACTCATGGTTTGCAATCGGTTGACATTCAAAATGATTCTGAGCTTCACCTCTAGCGACGGGTCCAACAAGTTACAGCATATCAGAACCAGTGTCGCCGCCCGAATCGCTGTCACACTACAACGTAGACGTGGCCCGATCCGGAACGAGTCTCCGTACATGGCGGAGCGACGTGAGAATTAGATGCGTAGACAGGTCAAGCTGACCTACTAACTATTCAACGGCCGAAACACTAAAATGCTGAAATGATAACACTCGAGGCTAAGTCGGTCAAGTACTGGGGCTGTCCTCTTTTGCCTATGAGAGTGGCCCACAAGGAGAGAACAATGAGACCAGAGAGGACTCACCTCGCCTGTACAGAGCAGCCTAAACATAGTCTACAGTCTACAGAAGATTCCTTACAGAAGATTCCTTTTTGCAGCGGGCTTGCCCAAGATTCCTAAACCCTAAACGCTAAACCCTACGAGGACCCTCAATGCACCCTTAAACAGACACCTGGCCCCTCACTGTGGGTATCTGGACAAAATACGGGTGCTGGAGGGTCTGGTATAGGTGCTTGAACCATGAGAAAAAAAGTTGGGGTATGGCACAAGCAAAACGATACTGGGGACCCCCCAAAGGGGGCAGCATCACTCCTAAACCCTAAACCCTACACCCTAAACCCTAAACCGAGCCCTACACCTCCGAGCAGCCACAGACATGGAGAGGTTGCAGAAGCGAGGCTGCCCAAACTGGTCGAAGTAGTCCCTGCCGCCCGAAACTAGGGTTTAGGGTTTAGGATTTAGGGTTTAGGGTTTAGGTTGACAACTCTAAGTGCGCGCTTCGGGTGCCGACCGTCAGGTTCGGGTCTAAGGCCTTAGGGCCCATAGAAAAAGTGATCATTTCTGTAACCGCCTGAAATGACGAAGAGAAGCCCTCACCCGTACACTGCGAGTCTTCAGCGCTTTGGGGTTAGGAAAAAGTGGTGCCGTGTCGAATAGTCATGCTTGCGAGCATGTATGCTGCGGCTCAGGGCGTCCATGCATCTGCAAGAAGACGCCCTTAGACTTAGGTCTCGTGGAGCGAGATGAGCATTGTCTGGGCACCTTTCTAAACTGCATCCTCCTAGGCTTCTCAGGAACCATCCGGGAACCAAGCTAAGAAGAACAGCCTTCGGGAAGGAGCCCTCTAAATTCGTATCTCCGCTTAACCTCAAAACCATACTCATACTCCCTAATAAACGTAAGCCTTACAAACGCACATCCTGCATCCGAAAGTCCCAAACCCCAAACCAAACTTCCTTAGCCCATGGTACGTGGTTGGAGCGCAGCTTCGGGGGTCTCTAGGAGTCATGCGGCTAGAGTTCAGGGTGTCGGTAAGCGCTGAGGGGTTGAGAAGTTCAAGGCTTTGGATCCGGGGTGGCATGGCTTCTCATTGTCCCCAAGACAACTTTTCAGTCTTCCTGTATCGCCCCTCAAAAAGACCCAACAATCCCAGGAGCCTTAAGCCGAACTCTTCGAAACACTCCGCCTGAGGCGACGAACGGCTGTTCGAGTTGCTTGGGCTTTGGGTGCATAGGTTGTCGGGGTTAAAGCTCCCAGCCTTCAGGGTTTAGCAGACTGTGTCTGTTCTTCCACCTCAACCACCCCCACCCCATCCCGGCGCACGCATGCGCCCTGCGGAAATCCTGTGAAGACCTACATTTCCTTCTCAAGTTGAGCTGTTCGTTCTGCCAAACTTTACCCGAGTTCGAAAGTCTAGCGCATGTCGGGGTCCTCGCTGCCCTCAGCTAAACGGACCCTGAGAAGCAAACGAACCCAGAAGCAAAATAAGCAAAAGCACACTCCCCAGCCTATCGCGAGAGAAAGCGCAACTCCACGAACAACCCTTCTTTGAACTCACCAACCCGTTGCCCGGGTCGCAAACAAAATGCACTTCAAGACGAATCGAGGCGTACCGCCCCCAAGCCATCTGCCTGAATCCTAGCGGAAAGACAAGTTCTATCCTCGGAGTTGAAACCCCTTCCCAACCGGTAAATCTGGGGCTCGATGCAAGGTGTGCATCAAAGCCCTCCGGCGGGAAGCCCACAGCTCAAGGGTCCCGAAGGAATAAGAATCTCAATTCCAAGCCTGAACCTCAGACAATAGGTATACATATATATATACACACATACATGTACATACATACATACATACATACATACATACATGCATGCATGCATGCATGCATGCATGCATGCATGCATGCATACATACATACATATGCATATGCATATGTATACAGTGGCCGTCTAGAACAAGTACAAGGTTTTGTGGTATGTTATGGTATAGATGTAAAAACTCTCGGTATAAGTATAGGCTTCTCTCTTTAAAAACCCCCTAAACTCCGGAGACCAGGGTCCCTGCCACACCCCGCTTGGTTAGGTCCGCGACCACCAGTCCTCCCCTGTCGCGAGGAGGCAGCAAAGGGCAGATGGCGGGTCTCGGGATTCTTGAGGGTTTAGGGTTTAAGGTTTAGGGTTTAGGGTTTAGGGTTTAGGGTTTAGGGGTTTTGTAGAGAGGGGCCTGCCTTAAGAACTAGAATACAGTAGGGTTTGGGGGAAGATTCTACTACAATTGAGGGGCCTTTATTAACTAGAATAGGGCTTTGGAGGAAAACTATATGTATATATATATATATATAGAGAGTTAGAATACGGAACCTCGCAGAATAGTATGGGTAATTACTTAGGCCCCAAAATGAAGGGTCCGTAAAGGTCTGGTGTTTTGGGGCTTACGCTCTCCCAACTCGGACTTGCCAGGCGAGGTCCAACAGGTGCAGGTCGGCGTTTTGGGTTTTTTTTTGGGGTTTATAAGTGTTTTTTTGTGTGTTTTTCGGGTGTGGGGTGGAGGGTCAGGATTCGAGGAGCTGGAGTTCAGGACCCAACCCTAAAACACACCCCAAAGAGTATTATATCAACCCCAATTCAAGAAACAGGCCCCTCAAAATCCGCTCTTCGACGCCCTGTGGAATGAGTATACTCTTCTATACTCGTAACCTTGTAGGCAGTATCAGTATACGTAGTCCGAATAGGAGCCTGTCACGCAGCAACGAGGGGTGCCTCAAGTTCTGTGCTCGCCCAGCTTGCACAGTTGGGTGTTGGGCCAGCTCATCCTCAGAGTGCGCAAAAGCCTTTATGGATTTAGGGGCCTCCTGTTTCTTTTTTTTTAGGGTTTAGGGTTTCGGGTTTAGGGGCCTCCTTTTTCTTTTAGGGTTCAGGGTTTCGGCGCTTCTGAGCTTCTGTAACCTTCAGGGCTTTAAGGGTTTATGGGTTGCAACTTCCCAGGTTGCCAAGCCCTAAGTTTAAGACTTCCTACATTCCAAGTCCGACCAGTTTGGTCGTGAGAGAAATAGGCCGGCCCTGAAAGGTGCCTTCCTTAAAGGATCATGGGACTTACTAAGTAGGGTTATAACTAAGGTAACTATACTTATAACCCCAATTAAGGGGCTAACCCTAAACCCTAAACCCTAAACCCTAAACCCTAAACCCTAACCGTACTTACTAAGTCCCATGATCCTCTAAGTAACCTATCTGTCAACTTGTCCTGCCGGACCTGTAAAAAGACAGCCCCAACAGAAACCCCGAAGCCTGCGCTGGACTGTTAGGGTTTAGGGTTTAGGGTTTAGGGTTTAGGGTTTAGGGTTTAGGGTTTAGGGTTTAGGGTTTAGGACCCAAAACAGCAACCCCTAAACCCCAACAGACCATAAGAGCCAAAACCTGAACTCTCAACCCTAAGCCCCGAAATATCCAGGCCACCAAGCCCTCTGGAAAACCCGACTCCCAAAGCTCAGCGCCTCAAACAAAAAACGAAAACGGAACAACACCGATCTTCGAAATCCGAACTTCGGAAACTCCCAGTTCCAAAGTCTGAAAGGCCGGAGCCCTGGACAAGAACCCCAGACTACATGCAGAACCCAACCTTACACCACGAGCTCTGAAAGTCCCAAACTAACTACCCAATGTCCTTCACTGCGCATCAACACCTACTGAAAGGCATTCCATATCCCCCAAGTCTTCTCAAAACCTGCCGGGCCCTAAACTTTCCATGTCCTGAACCCTAAACCCCTAGAGTCTCAACCCCCTACTTATTCTAACTCTGAACACCAAACCGTAACCCCTAAACCCCTTTTAAACCCCAGTAAGCACCTTTAAGCACCTTTAAACCCCTTTAACCCCTTTAAGCCCTTTAAACCCCCTTTAAGCCCCTTTAAACCCCTTTAGACCCTAACTCAAAGCCCCGCACTCCGATCTGCTGCGCCTCCTCTCCATCATCCATGCTCCCGAAACCTGAGATCCGCTCAGTGAAGAGAGCCAAAAGTAGGGTCAAGAAGGGTCTCCCTTTAAGGTGTCTCCCTACTATCTAGGAGTAGAGGGGCCTTCACACTTGCAAGGAGGGTTTGGAAGTCTTTCAGAACCCTTGCTATGGTTACTCGGGAGCTGTAACGCAAAATAGTACCTAGATTGAGTTTTGAGTTTTCTGAAACTAGACTCTGCTAGGGGGATACGATATCAAGAACCAGGTCTAGAGCTCATGACTTCCGGGCCTCCTACGTAAGGCTTTTGGCCCTGGTGGGTTTGCAGGAAGCTTGTGACACATCCACTCGGACAAGTCCAGGCAAGGTCTGCCGACGACATTGGGAAGCCAAAGTTCGATGGTTCCCCGACACCCCGGACAAGCCACAAAGGGCTTTCATTGCCCTGAAGGTTTAGGGTTTAGGGTTTAGGGCCACAAAGAGCTTTAGGGTTGAGGGTTTCGGGGTCACTGCTATCCTGCTGGGGCAGGGGATTTGGGCGAAGTCTTGAGCTGTGGGTTTGACTTTGCAGAATTTACTTTGTAATGGCATGCTTGTGTAGATGGCTATAAAGACACAGCAGAAGCATGGGATGTGGGGGTGGTAGCTAGCCTTTCCAAAATCAAGTGAACACAGCTCCAGTTTCAGAGTTTGACAACAAAGGTGAGTTGGGGGCTTCATGACCCTGAAGCACTGAAGCACGGAGTATACCCCCATGTGGCTATTGACCCAAAGGAGTGCTGAGAAGGGTTTGAGAATTCTTGCCTTTCCGGGTTAGGACCATACACGCACCTAAGTTACGGCGCGCTTTTCTGCAGGTTTTCCGGTTTCGAGGCTTTCGCACTGGATTCTAGGCGCTTAAAGGACAGGACTTTACTTTGGGAAGGGGGGTGGGGGTGGGCTGATTCTGGTGCCGCCAACTTTGTCCGAAAAAAAGGGGCTCTGAACCCACGCCTGCCAGCAAAAGTCAAGACACTGCAGATACATGCCTCTGAGAATGACATTCAGGAGCCACGTAGCCATGTAGAGAAAACATGCGACGCCCTAAGCTTCAAGGCTACATGGTTCTTGAAAGTCTTTTTCACAGGCATATCTGCTATCTGCACTGTCTTGACTTTTGCTGGCTGGTGTGGGTTAAGAGCCCATTCCACATAATCCTGGCTTCCGAAAACCCGTTTGCGGTAACTTTTATCGTGTGACCAGTTAGGGTCTCCGTTGTAGGTGGCTCAGGGTGCGGTATTCCTATAGTCGACAGGGGTGCAGGTCTAACTATGTGGGTAGTTGTCAAAATTATGGTCCCTTTTGGGGTACCCTAAATAATAGGTGCCGTATTTTCATAAGGACCCAAACAGGGACCATAATTTTGACAACCACCCATGTCCTAACTAAACCCCAAACGCCAAGGTGCCGGGGGAAAGGAAGCGGGAAGGCCCATCGCTGGTGAGGGGCCGGCTGCACCTGGGGCAGCCGGTGATTTTCTGCTCGATGCGTCCCTTTTAAAGAATCCAAGGGTCAACATGTCGTGGACGCCAAGTCTTCCCCACCTTCTTTGCGAGCTACCATGCCTATAGCACCACTGCAAGTTGCCCCTCAACCCTGCACCCCAATACACCCTGCGAGATCCTTGTTGCACAGACCCTGAGAGATCCCAAAACCCCAAGCTGCTTCGAGACACTCGGAATCGGCAAAAATCAGCTTTATGGTCGGGCTTGCTATCAACTGCCGCTCAAAACCCTCCTCTTGATTGCTCAAAGGTTCGGGCCCAGCAGAAGTCTAAACTTGTCCATGTCCAGATCAATCACAGGGTCATAGAGGGCGCAGAAAGATTGCAATTCTCCCCTTGGCCAAACCAAACCTCAGACCCTGACCCCTTCAATCACACGATCTCAAACTCCCAAACCTTACACCCCAAAACCCCTAATACAGGGGCTTGAACATTACGAATATGATTCCTACGGGTTCCGTATTACACTTCTTGCGTATTCCATACTACTCCTGATTCTTGCGGGCGCCATATCCTAAACCCTAAACCCTGTGTTAGGAATGTAGGAATGCCAGAATGGATGGCCCAGGCACAGAGAGCCCAGTGGATCTGTGAAGTCTGCCTCGTGACTCGTCTTCGCCATCTCCTGGAGTCTTCTCCGGTTCCCTGTTGGGGCTAAGTTTATGTCAAAAAGGACCATTGTTAATCCTTATTGGGCAAAAATATAATGACAACAACATGCAAAATTGTAGCCAACAAGGACTGTGATTTAGTTTCACCATGGTCTGCTGTGGGAGGGCATCGTGCTCTTCCCATGCAAAGTTGAATCGAAGGTATGGAAAGCGGAGTTTGTGGGTTTAGGGATTTCTTCGGGAGCCTAATAAGGGGACCAGATCATAAGATCCGGGTAGCAAAGCAGACTCCTTAAAAGAAGGCCAAACTGAATCTAGCACACCCAGGACCCTTGCCAAGATAGGAGCTTGGTCTTCACGGCCCGCCATGAAGATCCTCTGTAGCGACCCGTGCTGTGACTGCGAGATGATTTTAAAGCTGAATGCCATCCTCGCGGTTAGGTTTTCGGAGCTCAAACTCGGACACTGGGCTTAGGGTTTACTTGAAGCCTCGTCTCCCACAACTTGGCAGAACGGAGGTGAGACGACAGGTTAGGTATGTGAGGGCTTGATTACACTACCACAGGAATCCAAGCCATGCCCGAAATGCGACCCCTCTATGAGCAAAAACCTGGCTCAACGGGCGGCCTAGTTCGGAAGAAGTTTGGAGAACTACCTTAAAGGCTATGCGCCTTGCAGTAGGTATATGAAAGAACACTTCCCCATCAAAGCATGCAGTAACTTTGTGATTTCATGAGACACGGCCCTCTTTCCTCAACACCTCAATACGTCGACTGTCCAGGATGACAGGGGCATGGTCTCCACAATGAACCCTGAAACCTACAGCCTCTGTCCCCAACAGACTTCATCGGCGCAACAAACGGGCCTTAATCATTCGACTGGGTTTTTGGGACCCATTCTACTGTAATTCCAATAAGGGGCCCCCAAAATTGTACTAGTAATTATTATTGAAGCCCCTATATTAAGCCTGTTACAGAGCGCTGGTAGCACTTGCAAGAAGATCCGTCGGCCATAAAAAGTTTGTTTTTTTTGAACGCCTTTTTCCATGTAGCGGGGCATCCACTATCTAGAATCCACATGTGTGGAAGCCATAAAAAGTTTAGGGTTTAGGGTTTAGGGTTTTATCACTTTGTCTTCACAAAGGAGTTTAGGGCTTTAGAAGGTTTAGAGGTTCAGGAGGTTTAGGGAGGCACGGGGTTGGGCTTAGGACCCTTGAACCTTAAACCGTTAAATCTTAGTCGCTGCGTTCGTCCTGAACCTCGGCACTCAGCTTTTTCATGGGGCCGGTCTTCGGCTGCAGCATTGGGCAGAAGGCGGATGACGGCTTCGATCTTTGGAGTTTTTGTTTTTGTTTAGCCCCCATTGTCCCAGCATCCAAGCATAGGATCCAGGGCTTAGGTGCTTGGGGTCGGAGCTTGAAAGTGAGGGCTTGGAGGTCTCAAAGAGGGCTCGAGGCTTCTTTGGGCTAGCTTCGGACTCAAGCTCTTGCTTGAGGATTGGTTGAGGGTTTCTGGGGCTGTGCCGGCTTCCGGCATTGAGTATTTTGAAGAGTTGTTTCTTGGAGGCTTCCTAGGGCTTTACGCTTTACGGATTTGGGATTTGGCTCTTCAGGCCCTCATTAGCTAAGTCTGGTGATGCCCCAGTGTGAAACTTCCTACGATGCCTACGGCGCCCCGACTTTGCAGGACTTTCGGAGCCAAATGGCAGTAAGCTCTTGGCTTGGGCTTTTAGCAGGTTCAGGGCTTAGGGCGTTTTAGGGGTCACGGTTTGCGCGTGGCCTCGTCCTGAAACAAGGGTGGCTGATAGATAGCGCTCATGGAAAATATCGGCCCCAAAGCCAAGCTGTTTAGGGTTTTGGGCTTCGGGTTTCATGCCACCCAGAGGGCCTGCTATCTGCCCTACCGATTGAGGCATCTGAAGCTCTGCCGCTCAGCTCTTTTGACGCCTTGAGCGTAGCAAAGGATTCCGTTCAAACGGACTACAGGCCCGATCCGGCGCAGATTCCGTCTGAGAGCTGCTGACAGTAACATGCCAGGCGGGAGTGCCATGCGGAACAACGTACAATGTACAGATGCACCGATCAACCGGTGCCCGAAATTTCGGAGAAAGGAAATCTGATAAATTGGCAGATCTGGGATAAATCCCGATGCCCAAGCGAGAAGCAGACGAAATGGGAAATCTCGCTGCACAGGCTTGAAGCAGACGAAACGCTTGGCTCATTTATGCATTGGAGGGAAAAAGTGAGTCTTGCTCACCAACTCTACCATGCACGAACACCCTTACAATCACAGAACAGACTTTTGACAGCAGCTGCTCATGTCAAGGCATCACAAAGATTCCACCACCAGTGGGTCTTCTGGGTCCCCTTCGAAAGCAAGAGGCTCATCGAAGAGCGGTCGGATCTCCGCGCTGGCCATCTGCCTGGGGCTGTGGCCACGGCTGTTGGGGATGTCCGGGTCAGCCTTGGCAGAGAGCAGCAGGGACGCCAAGGGCCGATTTCTCAGGAGCGCTGCAAAGCCTAAAGGAGTTGAGCTGGACTCGGCCAGGTACCGAAGCAGGGGGCCATCCATCCCACAGCAGTTTGCCAACCTCGAGCCCATTTCCAGCATCCGAAATAGGCCCGTCGTGCAGCCCGGCTGGTTCACGTCCGCCCTCGCATCGAGCAGCAGCTTAGCATGAGCGAGACTCACCCGGGGGGTGGCCTTAGAAAACAGTGTCGTGCATGTCAAGGGTGACTTGGAGTGACCGCCGTGGGAGTCGTTCACGTTCGCCCCTCTTTCCAGCAGTCGGGCAACAACCTGCTGTCTGCTTAAACCGTCCTAAACTGCCTAGGCAATTCAACGATTTTCACACAGTTTATCTGGTAAAAGCACATTTTCTCAGACCAGGCAGCCTCCACGGGCCCGCTTTTTGAACAAGCCAATGCCAGGGGGCTTATCTTGGGGTATGACATGCGAAGGTTAACATCCGCTCGATGCTCCAGCAAGAAGTCCACTGCTTCGGCATCCCTGGCAAGCCCAAGGACAGGATTGCATGGCGCGAAGGTGCAATTCGGATCAGCTCGAAGCATGAGAAGTCCCTTGGCAGCTGCAAGGTTCTTTAACTGAATTGCCAGAATCAGCGGGGCATAATTCAAGATGTCCATACTGAGAATGCTCTTGCATTTTGCGCCCACGGAAGCTTTTGCCTCCACCAACGGGCGCATCAAGGAAGGTTCATCCAGGATTGCGGCGCAGTGTAACCCGCCCATGTCTTTGATCTTCACTGCTGAATGCAAGCTTGGAAAGCCAAAATATGACAGAAAAGAGTCCAAAGTCCATGAACTGGCTTGTCCGAAATTCTTCGCACACATTCCTTTCAGAAATCTGCGCAGTCCGGGCTCTTCTCGATGCTTGTCAAGGAATGACACCCGTGCTTGAAGGGCAAAATGCACAATGTCCATAATAGCAAGCCGGTCCTCCTCCTCCGTAAACTCACCCTCGTCCGCTGGTGCAAAAACCCAGTCTTTCGGCATCACAAACTCTGCATGATCGCAACCATGGACTGCGATCATGGGCAGTCGGCTGTGGTTGGAGAGCTGCGAACACCACAGTTCGCACCTGCACCAACCGCGGTCCAACCATGTCTCGTAATCGCAGAGTGAGCCGGAATCATGGTGCGGCAGGCATGGAACCAAAGCAACAAAGGTGCCGCAAACATCCACATAAGATGGGATCG